CATCCAGAAGTACCACCTGGAGCGCCACAAGCGTGTGCACAGTGGCGAAAAGCCCTACCAGTGTGAACGGTGTCATCAGGTAAGCACACATCTGCCATCCACCCCCACACACAAACCCTTCCTTCCCCGAGAACCAGGGCCAGCCCCCACTCGCTGCTTGACAAGGGGCCACCTGGCGTTCCTGGGCATGATAGAGTTAGTGCCTCAGGGTAAGGTGTATCTCTCTGGCCTTATGCAGCTAATCATGGAGAGGGGCCATTAGAACAATTGTAACAATAAAAATAATAGCATTTCTTAAGTACTTTGTGCCAGGTACTGTGAGAGCATACTTGACATAGATGATTTCATGTAATCCTCACATTAACTCCATAAGGTAGCTGTGTTGTGTTCACTTCACATATGGGGAAATTGAGATTCAGAGAAGTAAGTTTCTCAGGGACACAGCAGATCAAGGGCAGAGCTGGGATTCAGTTGAACTTAAGAGCTGGTGTACTTTAGAGGAAGAGATATAATCTCCGCCCTGGGGGTCAGTATCTGATCCGATGAGAATATAAGAGCCAGGACCAAAACAAGACAAGAACAAGAGATGAGAAATGCTGATAGCTAACACGTTCTGGAGGCTCTGCTGGGTCTCCAGCTGTGCTCCACACTCTTGCATTGAGTCTTCAAAATACTAGATGAAAGCTCCATGAGACAGAGGCTTTGTCCCCCTAGTTCTCCACTCTTTCCCCAGCCCCAAGAACTGGACCTGCCTTGAGGTAGATGCTCCATAAATACGTGATAAATAAAGCAGCCACTCTGTGAGGAGGCACTTTTAGCCCCATTTTACAGAAGAGTGTACAGATTCAGGGCTGTCAGCTAACTTGGCTAAGGTCACACAGCTGCTCTGTAATAGAGCCAGGACTCAGGCTCCAGAGCTCGAGTTCCTAACCACTGTGTACTCATGCCACCTGGGTACATGCCGAGAGGATGTAGAATGGGACGATGTGTGCCTCCTGTGTAGGGAAGACATGTAGCCCGCAGGCAGTTGAGTTTCTCCTCTCAGGCACTTAACCCTCCCTTTCTTCTCAGTGTTTTTCTCGGACAGATCGATTACTCAGACACAAACGGATGTGCCAAGGGTGCCAGTCCAAGACTTCCGACGGGCAGTTTTCTCTATAGGCGCAAGGGGCCCTGGGTGGTGGGAGTGATCAGAAGAATCTACCGAAGAGCGCATCCCCTCTGGTCTGATGGTCCCACCACCACCCCGTCTGTACCTGTCCCCCTCCTGGAGGAGTGGACCCAGGAGACCAGAAGAGTGCTTCCGGGGACAGCGGCCCCAGAGCCTGAGCTCTGTAAATAATCTGAGACTAGGAGGATCTCAGGGGAGTTCCTCCAGCATTCCTGGGTAGGGAAGCTAGTCCCTGGACCCTTGGCTCAGGTCATGGGGGGGACTCAAGGTACAGGACCAAGACTGAAGTGTGGCTCTCACAACCTTGGACTCCAGCTGGCAGCTGAAATGGCAAAGATTGGGGAGAGGGATTTGTCTATCTGTTCTGTTCTTGTTTTTGTTTATCCAAAAGCAATTTCAGCAGGTGCACTGTGGGTACAGGTAATCTGGAGGCATAGAGTCCTGGTCCAAAGCAGGGACTATGGCTGGTCCAGCCCTCCCCCAAAATGGAGTTTTTAGTTGCAGTTGATCCTCAATGTTCCACAGCCCTGCACCTCACCTTCTGTTTGAAGGAGAATAGGATCAGGGACGGCAGCTGAGCTCACTTTGGCCTCATACACTGTAGGGACAAAAGGAAGAACAGGGAGGAGCAGACAAGGGCCGGATCCAAGCCGAGTGGCCAAGTGCCTCATCTCCTCCAAGGAAGAGCAAGAGTTGTGCCTGTGGGTGTGGTGATGGCCCATGCCACACTGGCACTTAATGGGGTCAGCTCAAGTGCCTTTGGGAGGAAACTTGGCTGAGAGTGGCCCATGAAGCCCTTTCCTTCTCTCTTTGGGCAGTTGATCTTGGAGATAGTTTGTGGCTACCTCGCTGCCATTGACTCCTAAGCCAGACAGAGGTGTTGACAGGGAGTCATGGATGTCAGAGTGGGCTCTCTCTCCCTGTGCCCTCTTAGGAACAACCCAAGACTAATCCCAAGTTGAGTAACAACAGTTGAAGAAACAAAGGAATTTGGTGTCCCCTGAGATGACTGTTGAGCAGGAGGAGCTGTTCTCCCTGCCTAAGTCCTATCACTGTATTCAGGTAGAGGAAATAGGGGTCTGGCCTGCAGTCCCAAAGAACAAGATCTTGGCTTCCTTCTTGATGGCCATCCCTACCTAACAAAGAACGGGAGTGGGGGGTGGGGGCGGGGGGGGGTGCTGCTGCAGAGAAAGGACTGAGGAAGAAACCTAACATAGGTTTTGTTCTTAACGATATTCTTTGCTCCTCTCTGCTCCAACACCACTACCCTATCCACCCCTAAAAAAGTGATCAGGGGTGTGTGTGTGTGTGTGTGGTATGTGAGTGTTTGTGTTTGTATGCTTGGAGATGGCATATTATTGAGCCAGACCCTCCTCTGGCCCTCAGCTTAGGGGAGGATGAGCATAAAACAGCCCCACCCCCCACCCCAGCCCGACGGGTGCTTGAGGTCCCAGCAGGAGCTGGGGAACTCAGTTAAGGGGACTGGAGGGCTTTGTTTTGGAGGGTTTTTTTAGATTGATTGAGCAGGCTGGTGGTTAGGGCGTTTCTAACCCAAGCCAGGGCTCGTGAACATGAATTTTTTAAAGTGAAATAAAAAACCCTCTCTCTTCCTGCTAAGGAAAGGGTCCTATGGGAGGTTTTGGGGTTTGGTTGACCCCACTGTGGCCTGCTCTGACCTGTGGGGGTGAATAATCATGGAGACTGGGTGAACCTAACCAAGCCGTCAGTGGGGTTCTGAAATGGCAACCTCCGGGAAGTGTGATTCCATTTCCCAGGAAATGTAGGGAATAGCAGCAGACTCCTGGCTGTTACCTGTTCTCGAGGAGATGGTGGGGGGTCCTCCATACCTCTGAGGGGTGAGGATTTCAGGGAAGAGGAAGAGGTGTGGCACCCTTTAGACGTTCCCTGAGGGCATCAAGAGCCTTGGGGGAGATGCTGGGAGTGTGTTTGCCGCCTGTGCTCTTCCAGCTGTGTGCTGGCGCTCCCACTTCAGGTGTTCCAGACCCTAGGCCTCCGTCCTTGGATCTGCCCTGTGGTCCCTGCAAGCAGAGCATCTTTCTGCGTGGGAGCCAGCCCCTTTCCTGTTAAAGGGCTCTGCTGGGGCTGGAATTTGTCTCTCATGCACCTCTGGGAATATATTCTGGGAAGGAGGATGCATTTAGAAAACTCTGCCCTCCCAAGAGTGCTTTTGAAAATGGGAGGCCTCTCTCCCTGCCACTTGCAGCTAATCTGTTTAGGGTAGGGGTGTGTGTGGAGAGACTCACATGAGTGACCTATGCCCTTATGTGTGTGAGTGTGTGTTTAGGGCAGAATGTGCCCTGGCCCCCTGCAGGCCACAGCTTCCTGCCTGGATGAGTGGGAGAGGGGGAACTTCTGAGCATCTGTGCAAAGGGCCATCCCAGAACTGCCCCTGCCAAGGATCAGGTGTGGGGGAAACTCAGGAGCAGGTGGTTAGTTCAGTTGTCCACGTGCTGATGTTCTGGGGCTGTTGATGTGTGAGGAGAGAGGAGCAAAGAGGTGAAAGGAGTGACTTAGCGCCCAGAGGGCCCAGGAGCCCCCTTATACCCCAGGGAAACCACAGACTAAGACCGCTGCAGCGGCTCCTGGGCCCAACGCCCGCCCTCCTTTGCTGGGGTGGGGTTTAGCACTGGAAAGATGCCTCAGGTGTATTTGGAGTGAAGGGCAAGGGAGACAGGGCAGGCTCTCCGAGACCAGGAGGTGGAAATTGGGACCTGGGAAAGAGTAGGCCAGTTCTTGGGTGGCCAGCCCTGCCCTTCCCAGCACCCCATGTCTCTTCCGTCCACCCCTAACAGCCTCTTGTCATCACTAGCTACTGATTGTGCCCCATGGCTTGACAGTGGAGGGTTAAATGAGGCATGGAGTCTGCCACAACTTGTAACCCTCTCCCCAGATGCTCTTTGCCTCTGCTGTGGCCCTGGGGCATTTATTCTTAACAATCCCTTTACCTTCCTCTCCACCCTCTTTTTTTTTTTTTTTTTAATATACTTATTTTGCTATTGGGGGAGGGGAATATCAAATGAACAAGATCACTTTTAAATGGTAGTTTTTATAAGATGTTATAAACTTGTTATCTTTTTACCATTAAAGTGCAGTGTATGTTCCTTCGTGATATATTTAGGATATTTAAATAAAAAGAAAATGGGGCTTTTCTACATACTATCTCCTCTTTGGGAAAAATCATTTGGGGAAGCTTTTTCACTGGGGCCAAAGGGGTTTTCCTTTTTTTCACCCCAATTATACCCACCCCACAACTCCCAGCACCCTATAAACCGCCGTTTTAAAACTCCGCTTCTCCACAGAGAAGCCACAAGTAGAAGTAAAAACAGGGTACCGAAGTAAGAACATCGGTTCTGAGGAAGAGGGGGAAACGCGCGCAGCAGGCCAGAATGAGAGACACCAGCGATGCAGTGTTTCTCGAAGTGTGGTCTGAGTCCTGCATCAGAGTTAGCGGGGAGTCCGCGAGCCCAGCCGGCTGCTTCCCGGGCAGCCGCCTCTTGACTTCCTGCACTTTCAAGTCTGAGAACCGCCCCCGGCCCTCAAGTGGCAGGAGGAATGAATGGGTGAGCTTGCCAGAGGCCCGGACTCCACAGCCTGCTTTGGCCTTGGGATAGAGCAAAATGACAGCTGTGCTCCGAGGTAAGACTTTATTGTGTACGTGGGCGGGGTAACCCCCCGCTCCCGCGAGGTAGGGACGCAGAGATGCAGCACGAGGCAGCCCTTTGTGGCGTCGCTCCGAGGATGAAGTGAGGTGACCGCTCCTCAGCACCGAGTAGTCCCCTGCCAGACCGCTACCCGATCGACCCCCACCATCCCCCCGCGAGCGGAGCCCGGGTGAGCGTCCCTTCCGCTTCAGAGAGCGGGACTGTCTGCCTGGAAGCGGGGGTTGACGGTGGTTGTGACGGCGCTTTTGTAGAGAGGATTGTTGTCCTGGGGAAAGAGGTTGGAAGTGATGAGGAAAAGTCCAGGACTCCTCCTCTATCTGGTCCTAAGAGGCCCGCCTAGAACTGAGCAGGACCCCGGGAGCTGAGGGAATTAGCAGAGGGGCGGGGCGGAGGAGCACAGACCGGGGTGGGGGCCGGGCCGAGGGCGGGCGGCGAAGCAGAGAGCGGAGGACGCGCCCAGGACACGCCTGGAAGACCCAGTCTGGTGAGGCAAGAGGCGGGGTCTCCTCACCTGCTTCCAGTTGAGTTGCTGGCGCTCCTTCTCGAAGCGACGGTATTCTCGGCGGTCATAGATTTCCACCGAGAGCCGATAAGCCAGGACCAGCGCCAGTCCTACCGCCACGATGCCCCCTACGCAGCCCAGCACAATGGCCTGGGTGTGATCTGCTCCCTCTATGGGGAAGAAACAACACAGACTTCTGGGGGCTGGGGCATAGGACTGATCAACTGTCGCCCACAAGTATGTGCAGCCCCAGCCAGCTTGCCCAGCCCTGCCTGTCACTGAAAACGACGGGAACCCAGCAGGGTTGTTCTTAGTGCCCAGAGCCTTAGCCTCCTCCACTTGGTCCATCACTTCCGCTTTTGCCTGAATTCACAGCTCTGCTTCAACGCCTAGCCTGGTTTCCCATTATCCTGACCTCCCCATCCCCAGAGTTCTGAGGCCCTACCCGTCAAATTTCCAGTGCTCTCTTTGACAATGTCTACAGCATCCCTGCCCACTTACTCTCTCGGGGTCTTACTCGCAGCACGACCCCGCCTCCGACTTCATCCTCCACCAGGAAGAAGAACAGCTGGTTGTCCAGGGTCCTCTCTTTGCACCAGCCATCATCCAGGACAGGGGCCAAAGCCAGAGTCACGTTGGCATGGGCACAAGCCACGCTGCAATTGGTGGCCAGGAGACCAGTCCCAAAGGCCCCACACTCTGCACAGTCCCTGTCCAGTGGACACCAGTAAGTTAGCGGCTGGGCAGCTGTCACCCACACCACATGCGGGAAAGAGCAGGCAGGTGGGAGCGGCTTGGGGAGCCCTGCTGTGCCCCTGTTCCCAAGATGCAAGACCTGGGGCCTCACCTGTGTCTCTCGCATGGTGTCTTGCAGCCTGGGCACTGGTCACATAGGGCACCATAGTAGCCGTCCAAGCACTGGCAGCGGTTGCATTTGCAGTGTCCATGCCCACTGCAGAGCCCTCCCTCGGGACTGACACAGCTGTCCGTGTCCCCACTGCATTCACACGCTCTGCCTGTGCGGTTGGCGTGACAGTGGCACACTCCACATTGGCAGCGGCCAAAGCCTGGGGTAGAGCCATGCACAGAATGACAACCATACTCCCCACACACAGTTGGACATCACAGGCCGCCTAGAGCCGACCTGCTCCTGTGCATCCAATTCCCTCTTAAGTGTTTCAGACACATCCTCCAACTGCTACACAAGGATCTTTGATACTTGCTCTTAGTGCCGTGACGTTCCCAGAACCTAAATACCCTTGGGAAAGCCGCTCTGACCCCACCCCTCTCCTGACAGTCCCCAGGTACCTCCACAGAGGATGCCCTCATGACGCTCACAGCTGGCGTCATCACACTCGCACAGGCGCCCGGAGCTCCGTCCACTGCAGCTGCAGCGTCCACACTGGCACCGGCCCTTCCCACTGCACAGAGGCCCTGTCCCATTGGGGGCCCGGCACCCAGATTCCAGGTCTGGGGAGGACAGCTCAGCCTCAGAGCACTCACAGAGCCGACCCAGGCGGCCAGGGGCACAGCTGGGAGGGGAGGGCAGGGAAGAGAAAGGTGGGTCAGGGAGTTGCACCATCCCTTGACCTGTCTTTCCCAGGATCCTCAAAACCCAAGATCTTGCAAGAGTGGAGAGAGAGGAGTGGCTGAAGGGATGCTGGAGTGTAGTGGAGCACCAGGCAGTAGAAGAGCTGAGGGAGTTCTGGTGGAGGGGAGGGAAGCTTCAGGAGATGAAATTCAGGGTGGAGTCTTGGATGTCTAGAGACTCCAGCGGGCAGATGGAAGGCAAAGGAGGAGGACTACAAGGGCTTGTCATCTGTGGGGAGCCACACGGGGGGAAGGGAAGAGGAGGCCCTTACCTGCACACCCCGCATTGTAGCTGCCCCTGGCCGTCGCTGCAGTGGGGAGCGTGGAGCTGTGTGTCATTGCAGTTACAATCACACAGCGTGTGCAGCTCCACAATCAGCTCCTCTGAGAAGCCAAGGGCCCGGAACCTCAGAAGATGGGGCTCTGGGAGGCAGTGCGTAGCTTGGAGAGTAACCAAAAAATTCACCTGAGGACAGGGTGGGCAGAAGTCAGACTGAGATCATGCTCATGGACACACACACACCCCCCAAACCCACCAATCATCCACATGGGCATGCATGCACACACACCCACACACACAGACACCCCAAACCCACCAATCATCCAGAACCCTACTCCCTAGTAAATTGAGGGATGGGGTCATGCTAACACCCATCTCCTGGAAACACGCTCGAGGAAGCCACTCATTAAGCCCCTTCAGAAAGGATAGATGCAGGGCTACCCCGTGCTTTTGGCTTGTTCTCTGTGCCTGCCCCCCATCTTTTCCTGCCTGCTTCAGTTTCTCCCTCCCACCCCCACTTCCTTCCTTCTGCCTATCTTGGCTGGCTCTCACCGTCTGGTTGATTCGGACGTTGTTGCATTGGCCCCGGTCTCCAGCCTCACCCTCCCTCTTCTCAGAACCCCCACACTGAGATTCATAAGAGATGTGGACCCCAGGAGGGAGTGGAGAGTGTTCGAGGGTCACAGTGGATGACAGGCTCTGTGGGAAGAGAGGGAGGGAGTAACCACATGAGTAACCTCATGCCGTTCCAAAGTCTGCCAGAACACTGCCATCAGCCCACCTTGGGCTCCTTTCATTCTGCACCCTGCCATCAGCCCACCTTGGGCTCCTTTCATTCTGCCCAGTCAGGAGGTATTTCCAGAGGAAGGCCCTGTGAGAAACCTGAGTGAAGTACACGGGACCCAGAGGCCTCTCACACAGCATTTCAATGCAGCTGTGGAGAGCGAGGGCCTACTGGGGGGTCAGGGCTGGCCAGGCACCGTAAATGTGCAGTAACTGTTTTTCAAACTCCAAATCAGGACACACAACCTGTGTGCATACACGGTCTAAAGGGCAGATTCTTTACATTGAGTTTGTCCTGGGAAATTTGATACTGTCTCAAATTTTCTCAACATGGGTTTAGGACATGGTCCTTGTCATCAAGAAGCCTACAGTCTAGAGCCAGCCCTGATGGCCTAGCAGTTAAAGTTCAGTGAGCTCTGCTGCAGCTGCCTAGGTTCGGTTCCCGGGCGCAGAACCACACCACTCATCTGTCAGTAGCCATGCTGTGGCGGCAGCTCACATAGAACTAGAAGGACTTACAACTAGAATATACACCTATGTACTGGGGCTTTGGAGAAAAAAAAAAAAAAAGCCTACAGTCTAGTTGCAGAGAAAAGATCTAAACCCAAGAAACACTGAAGAATTTTTGTGGTTCCTTCTACCTGTAAAATTCTACGGTTCCTGTGAAGAATATCTCTGAATTGTTTGTAAGCTCAGTGAGAGCAGGCTCCAGATGTCACATTCTTTATGGACAGACTGACTGGGGGACAAATGCCAGCCCTTCCATCTGTTACCTGTGTGACCTTGGGCAAGTCACTTAGCCTCCTTGTGTGTGTATCCCCGTCTATAAAATAGGAATGATAATGGTTACCAAGCCGGGGTTTTAGGGGGTTAAATGAGAGAGCAAACAGTATGTGCACTTAGGACAGTGCACGGCATGAGGTGAAAGCTCAATGAATTTACTTTCCCTCCTTGCCCGGAGCAGGGCTCCATGCTCCGCACATATCAGACACTTAAGATTTGTGAATGTAAGATGGAGTGAGTGAATGGGCTATTAACAACAGCCATATGCAAACTATAGGTAGGAGCTGTGGAATATCACACCAAAAAGTGATCATTCCCTCTTAGTTCTGCCACCCCATCTGGGGGCCCTTTTCCACCTTTCCCCAGCGCCCACCCTCACCATTCCCCCCCACCCTGGCCCCTCACATTATATGCCTCCATGATAAGCTGCACCACGTTGCTGGAGTCCTCGCTCAACTCTCCCACTGCGGACTTAGGAATCAGCTTACTCAGCTCCTGAGTTATGAGGAGTTGAAGGAAATGGTGGGTCACAGCTCTAGGGAAATGGGCTTCTGGGGGTCTGGAAGGAGGGCATATGGGCAGAGGAGAATGAGTCCTTGAGGGAACTGAGAAAGGCACGGGGTGGGAGAATCTGGCGTTCAGACAGCTCTCACCTGGTAGACAGGCAGTGTGGTGCTGGTGACAGCAAAGATGGGCTGGATGTTTGCTGCAGAGAGGGCCTGAGCCACCTGACCCACCGAGGGGTAGTCCTGGGGCAGGGAGAAAAGGTGAGGACCACAGGTCCCCCCACAACACGCAAGGTGCCCTCCGCCCGGGAAATCCAAGAACCAGGGTTCTACCAGCTAGAGGAGCCCTGGAGGCTTGGTAAGGAGGAGGGAGGGACTCGGGAGTGGGGTGACACAGGTTTCTGCCTGAGCAGCAGGGGACATGGAGAGGAGGAACTGCTGGGGAAGATGACAGGGTGGCCCCCAGTAAGGAGAATGAGGCTTGGAGGTGGGGGTCCTGGGAGGAGAGAAGGTGTGGCTCAGATAGGGAGGGGCAGGGTGAGGGTGGAGACTCACGAACTCAGGGCTGCGACTGTAGAGGCCATTGCTGTCCAAGTGGCAGTGCCCATCGCTGGGCATGAAAATGCCACCCAACTTCCCATCTCCAGCTGTGTGGAATGTGTCATCGGAAGTGAACACCAGCAGCCGGGACACATTTCTCCAGCCAATCTGCTCCTGGGGTGGGGTGGGGGTAGGCTGTGCACCTGGGCATGGCCCTTGAGCCACCCCAGCCAGCGCTATGAGCCAAGGATTTGGCCAGCCTCATTCTGAGTCAGTTTGTCCATCCCCCTGCCTCCAGCTCCCTGCTCCTCCCCAGCCCCCAGTACAGGGGGCTGGCCTCCGCTGCTAGCGGAGGCCTGCCTGTGAATTAGAAAAACATGCTTCTTCCTCAAGATATTTCACTCCAATCCACCAGGAAATTGTCAAAATAAATATGCAAACTACAGTGACTATGACAGGACCGGCACACCCTAGAACTGTGTGCTGCCCAACCACAGATGGCAGTCCTGGCCTCAAACAGTCCTTCAGACCCGGATCCCTGCCCTGACTCCTCACCTGGCAGAGTGCAGCCTGCAGAATGGCGTCGAAGCCACCTTCCGGCGAGTCCAGGTTGCCGGACACGCTCTGGCGCCCCACCTCCCGCTCAAAGGCCTCAGCGTCCCCCGTCAGGGGCAGCACGTGGTGAAAGCTGAAGGGCGGCTGGCAGCGCTCCAGCCGACTGGGGCAGGGGTGACGAAGCTTGGAGGGCACTGTGCTCACAAAGGGCAGCACCGTTTTGTCCACGAAGGAGCCAAAGCCTGGGAGGGGGGAGGCATGGAGCCTGTACCAGAAGTCACTGGACAGCAGCAGAATGGAGGGGCCACTGCTGAGGACTCAGAAAGGAGGAGACCATGGGAAGTGAGGAGTGGAGAGGACAGTGGTAGAGCAGGTAATGGGAGTGGTGCTCCTAGAGGGCAGGGACCCAGTACCTGGCAGGAGCAAAGGGGTGAGAACACAGCTCAGAGAACAGTGAGGTGGAGGAGATTAAGAGGACACAATGGGAGTCAGGCAGGTTTCCTGAAGGCTAAGGAAGAAGACAAGGGTGTAGGGTGTAGTAGCAGCATGAGGCAAAGGAGAGGATCTTGAACAGGACAGAAATGAGCACAGACTGTGCAGCCAGGGACAGTGGCATTTAGGCCTTGTCCAAGAGACACAGGGCTGGGACAGTGGCATCAGGGCAGTATCCGGGTGGTAGGTCCAGGTTACTGTCTGACCCCTGGGCGCTGTCTGAACAGTCTCTCCAGACTCTGGGCCTCAGTTACCCCTCCTATAAAATGAGTGGTCCTAGTGGACCATCTCTTAAGTCCCCTCCAGCTGACCTAGAAGACGGATGTCTTTGGGGAAGATGTCAAGACCCGTGGGCTGTTAAAAACTGGGAGAGGGCAGCTGAGGCCCTTGTGTGTCCAGGACGCTGGCAGAGGCTAAGGCGGCGGTTGAAGTTAGAAGCAGAGAGCCGGCAGGGTGCGGGTCAGCGCTCCGCTCACCGATGCGCACAGAACGGGTGACCTCCTGCAGCCGCACCAGCAGGGCGTGCCCGAGCTGGCGCACGCGCTCCAGGTCGTCCTTCATGGAGTAGCTCAGGTCCATAAGGTAGTACAGGTCCACAGGGTATCCCTCGGCCCGGAGGAAGCGGACCCGGAGCTGCTGGGGCTCCCCTGGAGGGGTGGGAGGTGGCAGACGTGGGTGAGCGGGGCGCATCCGAATCCCATCCCGGCCCTCCGCCCCGGCCCCGCCGCCCTCCAACTCACCGGGCCGCAGCGTGACTCGGACCCGCTGCGGCGCCAGCTGGGTTGCCCCGTCGCCGCGGGCGCCCTGGCTGAGCGGCTCGTCCTGCAGCACCTCCTGCCGGCCGCGGGGCTCCTCCAGCTCCCACGGTGGGCAGCCCCGAGCCAGCAGCTCCTCCCGCCGGGCGCATCGCCGCGCCTCCGCCTCCCCCCCCGCGGTGAAGTTCTGCGCGGCAAGGGGAGGCCCGTCGGGACCCTCGTCTCTAAGGACCTCCCAGCCCTGTTCCCAAAACCACACTGCAATCGCGGCCCCTTCCAATCCCTCCCTTCTCAGTCAACTCCCTGAGCCCCGCTGATTCCCTCCCATCCCCTTCCTGCCGCGGCTACCCTTGAACTCCCGTCATCTCTTCCTTGTCAGAGCCCACTTCCTATAGCACCCCTCCTCCTCCTCCTATCTCGACTCCCCCCTTTCTCCAGCCACCCACCCATCCCCTCCCCCTAGGGCCGCAGACTTCCTGTTGAGATCTCAGGGACCTCACTACCACAAAAAAAGGAGATGCCTGGCCTACTAGTCCAACCTCCCCTGCACACTCAGGCCGAAATGGGAAGGGGGTCAGGCTAAGACCGACAGTTCCCCTGGAAGGGGAAGGATAGGGACAGAAGAGGAGCCCCCTCCCCGCAGTGTGTCTGGTACCCCTGAGACTGGCTAGGAAGCCGCAGGGGAAGGAAATGGTTAGAGCGGCTTCTCAGCTGGCCCGGTGCCACCCTCTGGTCTGGAGATTGGAGGAGACACACACGCCCCACTGTCCTGAGAGCTCCCTCCTGACACCTCTGCTCTTGCCTCCCACTTTCACTATGTGCCTTTCTTCACCCGTTAAGCCTCTGTAGCTCTGCCTCCTCTGGGTTTGCCCTCATCTCTTATCTCATCTAACTTTCCATCTTCCTGTGAGAGGGGCAGTTCTGCCCCCGCAGCCAACTGGGGCATCCCTCATGTTCTGCCCCTCCTGGGCCCTGTCTCTTTAGGGCATAAACAAAGAACAGCCTTGTTTGACCAACCAGGGAGACACCCACCCCCTTAGCGTCCTTCTTGGCCACTTAGGTAGCTTAAGCCTTTCCCCCAAAGCCCACAGGCTTCCAACTCCTTCGCTTCTGTCCTCCAGTCACAGGCTGCTACCTAGGAAGATAACAACCCCAGCCCAACAAAGACTCAGACACCCGATCACACACTTCCTGCTATGGGCTAACCCTCACTATGATGGTATCTGGAGATGGGGCCTTTGGGAAGAAATTAGCGTTAAATGAGGTCATGAGGGTAGAACTGTCATGAGGGGACTAGTGCCCTTATAAGAAGAGACACCAGAGAGCTTGTCTGCAGCCCATCTGCAAGCCAAGGAGAGAGTTCTCACCAGGAACCTAATCAGCTGGCACCTTGATCTTGAACTTCCCAGCCTCCAGAACTGTGAGAAATAAATTCCTGTTGCTTAATCCACCCAGTCTATGGTATTTTGTTACGGCAGTCCAAGCTGACAGATGTACATTCTCACATGTGTATATGCACAACAGGTCCCTCTACCTATACACAAGCATAAGTTCCAACAAGAACATACTTCCTCCAAATTCATGGTCACAAGTCTTCTCCATTATACACAAATTCACAGATACAGACATAATGTACACACGCAGGAACCTTGCATGCATGTGTATGCACACATACACACACAATCACACACAGGAGTCCTATGTGCACAAACTCAGTCACACACAGGACTGCAGAGTGCACCCAGAAAATCACGCATGTGCCCACACAATCAGACACATATACCCAGGCTGCACACACACATACACATGGGTCAAAGGCCACAGGCACATCTTTACCAGTTGCTTGCACCATGCACAGGTTGGGTGTGAGAGGATGCACTTCTGGCAGGAGGGGGCTGGCTGGCAGGACTCTGGCAGGGGCAGATCAGGATCTCCCCATTCTGTGGCCTCCCCTGGGGATGAGATCTTGGGGTCCAACTCACTCTCCCCTCCACTCAGGGCCAGCAGGAAAACAAGGACCATTGACAAAGCCATTATTGTCTGTAATGGGATATAAAAGGAGATAAGTGGGTCCTCAGGGAGGACCCCCAGGCTCTCCGTCCTCTAAACTTAGCCTGTGGTTGTCACTCTCAAAACTTTACCCCAACTGTTTGTCTCCCGTCATAGTTTCACTTCTCCCTGTGGAGTCAGCAGTTTCTTCAAAATGGCGGGAAGGGGCAAGTACCAGGCTGGGGTAGGGGGTCTCAGCAAAGACCCATCCCTCCTTTGTGCAGACTTCACAAGGCCCGGATGGGCAAAATGGCCTCACCAAGAGCCTGGGGACTGGGCCAGGAGGCACTAAGATCTACACCCAGGTCTGTTCACCAAGATTCCAAACCATAGTGGAAATAGAACCAGACAGAAAATGGACAAGGTTCTGGTCTGCCTCAGTCACTCACTTGCTGTGGGGCAAGTCAGACGTTCTCTCTAGGCCTTAGTTTCCACATCTGTAAAGTGAGGGAGGTGAATAAATAATCTGACAGCTCTTGCTCTTCCATAATCTTGGATTCTAAATAAGGGAAGAGGGTCGAGGGCTCTAAATAAGGGAAGAAAGGGAGTAAGAATAAGAGGAAAGAAAGCTAGAGAAGATGAGGGGGTGTGTGAAGGAGGGAGGGAAGGGTAACTGTACTTGATTGACATGGTAGCAAGAGGAATAAAGATTAGACCATAAGAAGAACTTTCTAAAGGTCTAGGATAATGAAGGAAGGCAGACCAGGGATGGTAAAGATTTCTCTTTCCTATACTTTGCACAAAGGGGATCTAAATTGGAGAAAGGGCCTGAAGGCCCTTGGAATGACCTCTAGGAAAGACCAGGCAAATTTCTGATATTGTTTTGCTGAGGAACATTCACCTGAGCTAACATCTGTTGCCAATCTTCCTCTTTTTTTTGTATGTGAGCCACTGCCACAGCATGGCCACTGACAGAGGAGTGGTGTAGGTCAGTGCCCAGGAACCGAACCCGGGCTGCCGAAGCAGAGCTCACTGAACTTAACCACTAGGCCACGAGGCTGGCCCAAATTTCTGACTTTTTAAAAATTTATTAATTAAAAATTTGAATAGGCAATCCATTATCATGCTTCAAAAATTACAAAGTTAAATCCCAATGGCCGGGCCGGCCCTGTGGCTTGGTGGTTAAGTGCGCACGCTGCGATGCTGGTGGCCCGGGTTCGGATCCCGGGTGCGCATCGAGGCACCGCTTCTCCGTTCATCCTGAGGCCGAGTCCCACATACAGCAACTAGAAGGATGTGCAGCTACGACATACAACTATCCACTGGGGCTTTGGGGGGAAAAATAAAATCTTTAAAAAAAAAAAAAAAAATCCCAATGGCCTCTTTTACAGAAATAGAAAAGCTGTTTCTAAAATTCATAGAGAATTGCATGAACAACCAAAACAATCTTGAAAAAGAAGAACAAAGTTGGAGGAACTTACACTTCTCGCTTTCAAAACTTACTACAAAGCTACAGTAATCAAGACAGTGTGGGACTGGCATAAGGATAGGCATATAGATCAACGGAAGAGAATTGAGAGTCCAGAAATAAATCCATCCATTTATGGCTAATTGATTTTCGCCAAACTATTCAATGGGGGAAAGAATAGTCTTCAACAACTGGTGCTGGGGCCGGCCCCGTGGCTTAGCGGTTAAGTGCGCGCGCTCCGCTACTGGCGGCCCGGGGTTCGGATCCCGGGCGCGCACCGACGCACCGCTTCTCCGGCCATGCTGAGGTGGCGTCCCACATACAGCAACTAGAAGGATGTGCCACTATGACATACAACTATCTACTGGGGCTTTGAGGGAAAAAAGGAGAAGGATTGGCAATAGATGTTAGCTCAGAGCTGGTCTTCCTCAGCAAAAAGAGGAGGATTAGCGTGTTGTTAGCTCAGGGCTGATCTTCCTCAGGAAAAAAAAAAAAACACTGGTGCTGGGATGACTGGATATCCACATGTAGAAGAATAAAGTTGGACTCCTACCTCACAACGTATACAAAAATTAACTGAAAATGGATCAAAGACCTAAATACAAGTGATTAAAGTATAAACTCTTAGAAGAGATATAGGGGTAAATCTTCATGATCTTGGACTTGACGATGGATTCCTAGCTATGATATCAAAAGCACAAACAACAAAAGAAAAAATAGATAAATTGGACTTCATCAAAGTTTAAAACTTTTGTGCATCAAAAGGCACTATCGAGGGAGTGAAAAGACAGGCTACAGAATGGGAGACAAAATTTGCAAATCATATAACTGGTAAATATCCAGAATATATAAAGAACCCTTACAACTCAAAAGAAAAAGACAAACAACCCAATTTTTAAATGGGCAAAGGACTTAAATACACATTTCTTTGAAGAAGATGGACAAATGGCCAACAAGCACATAAAAAGATGCTCAACACCGTTAGTCATTGGGAAATGCAAATCAAAACCATAATGAGGGACCAGCATGCTGGCATAGTGGTTAAGTTCACACACTCTGCTGCAGCAGCCCAGGGTTCACAGGTTCCGATCTCAGGTGCAGACATACACACCACTCATCACCCCGTGCTCTGGTGGCATCACACATACAAAATAGAGGAAGACTGGCACAGCTGTTAGCTCAGGGCCAAACTTCCTCACCAAAAAAAAAAAGAAAACCCGTAATGAGATACCACTTCACACTCACTAGCATGGCTATAATCAACAAAATGGAAAATAAGTATTAATGAAGATATGGAGAAAATGGAACCCTCACACTTTGCTCGTGAGAGTGTAAAATGGTACAACCACTGTGGAAAACAGTTTGACGATCCCTCAATAAGTTAAAACAGAATTACCCTATGACCTGGCAATTCCACTCTAAATATATCCCTAAAAGAGCAGGTGTTCAACCAAAAACTTGTACACAAATGTTCATAGCAGTACTACTTACAATAGCTAAAAGGTAGAAACAACCCAAACATCCATCAACTAATGAAAGGGTAAACAAAATGTAGTATATCCATACAATGAAATATTACTTGGCGATAACAAGGAATGAAGTACTGATACATGCAACAATATCGATGAACCTTGAAAACATTATGCTAAGTGAACAAAACTAGTCACAAAAGACCACGTATTGTATGATTCTATTTATGTGAAATAGCCTGACTAGACAAATACATAGAGACAGAAAGTAGATTAGTGGTTGCCAGGGGTTGGGGAGGAGAGGAAGATGGGGAGTAACTGGGACAGTTTCTTTTTGGGGGTGAAGAAAAAGTTCTGGAAATAGATAGTCCTTATGGTTGCACAACATTGTGAATGTACTTAATGCCGCTGAATTGTACACTTAAAATGATTAAAATGATAAATTTTATGTGTATTTTACCACAATAAAAAAAATCAAAAAGTTAAATAAGATAGTGAAAAATCTCCCACTCTTATCCCTATCCACCCCAATTTCCACACCTACTCCAAATAAATAACCATCATTGATTATTATCATTTGTTGCTTATAATCTTTCTAGAGATTGTTTTATGCATATACAAACTAATACAAATATACATACTCTTCAAATGGTAGAATCAAATGGTAGAATATACCCAGTTTTGCATCTTACTTTTTTTCTTTTAACTTCTTTTCTTGGAGCTCCTGCTAACCAAGAAAATAAAGAACTTCATTGTTCATTTTTATAGCCATATAGATTTCCATTGCATGGATATATCATATTGTAGTTAAAACTCTTATGATGGGGATTGAAATTGTTTCCAATTGTTCACTAGTACAAATAACGCTGCAATGAAAATTCGTGTCTTTATGCGTGCACATAAATTTCACAGGTGTGCAAGTGAATCTGTAGGATAAATCCACAGAAGAGGGGTTGTAGGGTCAATAAACAGGTACTATTCGTAATATCGGCGAGTATTACCAACATAACCTCCTTAGGGACTGTGCCAGTGTACATCCCCATGAGCAGTGTATGAGAAAGGCCAGCTTGGGCCGGCCTGGTGGCTTAGCGGTTAAGTGTGCGCGCTCTGCTGCTAGCGGCCCAGGTTTGGATCCCAGGCGCGCACCGGCGCACCGCTTCTCCGGCCATGCTGAGGCCGCGTCCCACATACAGCAACTAGAAGGATGTGCAGCTGTGACATACAACTATCTACTGGGGCTTTGGGGGAAAAAAAAACAATAAAATAAATAAATAGATAAAAGAAAGGCCACTAACTCCTTGCTGAGAAGCATCTGCATCCTCCTCAGGCGGGGTCTAGACTCAGATCCAGGTGCTCTGCACGGAGTGTGGGGAAGGGGTGGTGTTGACTGCCCCCACCTTACTCCCCAACACCTGTGACCTCGGGCATAGTGTATATATAACGGAGCCTCCGCCCTCCTGTGAGAGGCCGGCCCAGGGCTCAGCCTCAGTGTAACCTCAGCCCTGCTTGCTTTGCACGCCTGTGGTCGGGGAGGCCGGAGATGCTGCAGTACAGAGCCCAGTTTTGACTCATCTCTCATAGGTGGGGCCCCCATGCCACACTGGTTCCCCAGGATAGGACAAACCCGGAGACCTCAAGCCTCACTCACTCCCCCATTCGAAGGGGGCCTTGGGACTCCCTGGACAGCCTTCTGCAATCCCCTTCTCCCAATTGTCTCCTCTTCTCCCCTCCTTGGGGATACATGACCTGCCACCTGCTTCTCTCTATCTGTCTCTGTCTCTCTCTTCTTCCTATTCAAAAATTGGATTGCATCTCTCTGCTGCTCTTCTCTTCTCACTTCTTCACAGTTCTTTGTTTTACTTCCTTTTTCCGTCTGATCCTAACCATAGAATGGCAGAATCTTCTACTTCAACCCCCTCTTTTTACAAATGGAAACCTGAATCCCAGAGTGGTGAGTGACTTGCCCAAGGTCACAGTGAACTAGAGGCAGAGCAAGGGTTGAGACAGGCCAGGCCCTTGGCCTGTTTGCTGCTTTCTTCCCCTCCAACCCAGGCACCAACATCATGGAAAGCTGTGCCTTCTCCCCACTGGGGCTCTACCTAATCCCCTTTCTCTTTCCTTGAGGGACTTCCTCAGTCTTCCCTTCTCTCCCTCTGTGGTTGTCCCATTTTCCTGGACTCAATTCTGACTCCAATACACACCCTATTACCCCCTCAGCAGCGGAGAAACAGAGTATCTTTCCAGCCCATCCAAATCGCCCAAGTCAAGCGGAACCCTCTCCTGCCCACTCAGAGTCACAGGGAGGGAACAGAACTGAGCCAGGAGTGTGGGATCTGTGGCCAAGGTGCCAAATGGGAGGAGGTCTGAGCTGAGCACAAGGCTAGGCAGCTGGGATGGCAGCTGGGGAGTAATATTGGGAGAACCCTACCTGACGTGATCCTTGGCACATGGCAGGCACTCCGGTGGTAGCACTCGTACATCCCCCACCTCCTTTGCCTCCCTCCAGCCCTACCCTTGAGAAATTGATGCCAGAGAGATAGGTGGTGGAGGGAGAGCTTGTGAAACTGGAGGAGGGAACAGGGACAAGAGCGCTTTGGGATGCAGAAAGAAGTTCAGAACCTTTTTCAAGTCTCAACTGAACCCTGAGTGTCTTCAGATCAGAGCCCTCTTCCTGGGAGGTTGGGACCAGGTGCGGCCTGGGCTAGTAAGGAGAGAAGGCAGAAGGGCCGGTGCCCTGGTACTCACAGGTGCGTGCAAAGCAGCCCTTCCTCCGGAGGCAGCGGCAGGCTTTGTGTACTGATCTGGGAGGCTACAGAGGAGGAAGTGACACGCCCCAGGGTGGGGGAGACTTGGGGGTGGTGGGGGTGACTGATCTAGGAAAGTGGAGCAGACAGGGGTGGAACTGGGCCAAGGCAGTTGATGCCACAGGGGTCTGGAAGCGGGAAGTTCATCTATTGAGCACATATTATGTGCTGGATGTTTCATGATGTGGTAATTAATCCTCATAACAACCTCATGACATAGTTGTTAATATCCCCCCAGCCTCCTAAATTTATAGATGTAGGGGCTTAGAGGTAAGGTGGATATTGAGGCTTAGAGGTAAGAAGTAAAGAACCTTGCCCAAGGTCACAAAGCTAGCAACTGGCTGGTCTGGGATTTAAATCCAGGTCAATCTGCCTCCCAAATTGATGATCTCTCCACTTCCTTATATGGAAATGTGATAAAGGGGCCGGTCCTGTGGTGCAGTGGTTAAGTGTGAGCGCTCTGCTGCTGGTGGCCCGGGATTCAGATCGCGGGCACGCACCAGTGCGCTGTTTGTCAGGCCATGCTGTGGTGGCATCCCATATAAAGTGGAGGAAGATGGGCACGGATATTAGCCCAGGGCCAGTCTTCCTCAGCAAAAAGAGGAGGATTGGCCCGGATGTTAGCTCAGGGCTGGTCTTCCTCACAAAAAAAAAAAAAAAATTAAAAAAAAAAAAAAGAAACATGATAGGAAGGAAGAAATATCGAGGCAGTAAGTACTGTAGAGGGGCCAGCACGGTGGTGTAGCCATTAAGTTCGTGTGTTCCGCTTCCGCGGCCTCGGGTTCGCAGGTTCGGATCCTGGGTGTGGACCTACTCACCGCTCATCAAGCCAGGCTGAGGTGGCGTCCCACATAGAAGAGCTACAACTATGATACACAACTATGTACTGGGGCTTTGGGGAGGAAAAAAAAGAGAAAAAGAGAAATATTGGCAACAGATGTTAGCGCAGGGCCATTCTTCCTCAAAAATAAAAAATAAAAAAAAAAGTACTGTAGAGAGAGGCAAATGAGTGACTATTGTTCATTTTGAAAATCTACTGTATGATAGTGGGCACTCAACTACACGGGATCTGGAGCTGAAATGCTCTAGTTCAAATCCTGCCTCTATCACTTACTGTTAGCGGGACGTCAGGTAAGTTACCTACCCTTCCTGTGGCTGTTTTCTCATCTGTCAAGTGGAACTCATAGGATTGTTGTGAGAATTAAATGAGATATTTCATATCAATCGCTTAGAGAAGAACCCGGCACATACTAAGGGCTTGAGCAGAGAATCCGTGGATAAGTAACGGGAGTGAGAAGCGGAGCAGCTTTGAGAAATTCAAGGTCCATACAGCTGGGGAGGTGGAGGGAAAAGCACAGGCCCAGGCTCCGAGAATGAGATTGGGGGGCCAAGGAGCCAAGACAGTGGTGGTGCCTGGGAAGGGGGTGGAGGAGGCGAACTGGGAGAAGCAGGGTGCAGGAATGGCAGCTGGGGCTGGGCAAGGATGGAACCTGTAGGGAGAAGGGGTTGTGGGAAATATTTGCCCCTGGCCCACACTTGACCACAGGGAGCTTCACGAAGGAACTAGACAAGGAACTAGACGTGAGGTCTGTGATCACACGTCTGTCACCTCTGCAGAGCGGGGGCTGACTGAAGCCACAGCACCTAGCCAACCACCCATCTCATGGCAGGTGCTCAGTCAATGTCAGGTGGATTGTAGGAGCGTACTGCTGGGAGGAGCAACTGGGGAGAAGAGGGTCCTTCTCCTGTGGGCTTCAGCTGGCCTCAGACTGTGGGACATTTTACCCTTCCCCCACAACCAGGGGTTACCATGGCAACGACCCCTCTTCCCCATAGGCCCTGTGGTTTCCTCTAGAGCTTCTTTCGCTTTCTTCTTCTGCTTTTCCCCACTTTTCTCCTCCCCTACTCCCACATCCTCAACCTCTCTCTCCCATATGCACAGGTCATTGGTGAAGAAAGCCAGGCACAAGGTAGGCATGGCACTGTCCCAGGGAGGAAGGTGGGCTATGGGGGAGTCACAGAGGGCAAGCGGAAGACAGACTGCAGGACGCAGCGGTAGAGGCCAAGGGCATGTAGGAGCAAGGGGTAACAGTGGGAGCGTGGAGGGCGAGTGGAGGTCATGGGGTGAAGAGTGGAGTCAGACAGGGCAGAGGGAGTAACTCATAAGGTGATAGTGGGGTCATGGAAGGTGGGAGAGCTCATGGAGCCAGGGGCTGGTATAAAACAGAAACACTGTAACTTAGATGCAGGCTGTGGTTCTTTTCTTCTGGGGCCAGGGACCCTCATGAGTACCAAATGAAACTTCAAAGATCCCCCCCACCGAGAGAAGGGCAGACATGCACTCATACATATCTGGGGGTGGGGACAGTTTAAAGACCTCTGAGGCTCCTTCACACCTTTGCAGAGGTCCATAGGGTCCAATCGAAGAACCCACACTGGTGGCTGGGGAGGCCCAGACCCTCAGGGTGGGCCCCTGTGGGCTCCCTTTCCCCCACCCTCCCACCACCCCATCCAGGCACATTGCATCCTATTTCCTTGGTTCCTCTAAAAAAGCTGCAAAAGCCAGTAGATTAGGAGCTCACCCTCATCACCCTGTCCCTCTCCAGGTCTGCTGGTCATTTCTCCTACCACCTCCTAGAGGGAGCCACATCCCATGAGTTTCCATCACTTTATTTTGCAAAAATAGAAAACTCAGCAATATGCGATACAGCGGGGTGGAGGGGAGATGTAAACAGAGAGGAGGGCACAGCACCCTGACCCCCCTAGAGAAAGAGGGGAGCCAGTGGGAATCTTATTTGGCAGCTAAATACAAACTGGGGATTGGAGGAAGAAGGGAGGGGTCACAGGGGCCCCGGGTACCCCCTCCCAAGACTCCTGAGGAAGGGGTCAATTCCAGGGTGTAAACAAAAGCTAATAAATAAATAGAGGCTTCCTCTGGGTCAGGGCAGGATCAGCTAAGCAGCACCCACCCCCCTCTCCCTGGGCCAAGCTGCTCTGGGGGTCAAGAGGGAAAGGCACTAGGGGGAGAGGGATCCCCTGGCCCCTCTGTAGTGTAGGAGGGTCCCTGCCCCGATGGCTGAGATGGGGGGCAGAGGGAGCCCAAGGCACATGATAGGGCTGGGGGAGGGCTTGTAACGGAGGGCACAAGGTAAACTCTGGGCCCAAGCAAACAGGTGAAGAATGGACCTGCATCCGTCCCTTTCACCCTCTAGCCCACCACGGAAATACAGGGCCCAGCGTGCCCCACCCTGACCTGGCACGAGGATGGGGCACAGAGGGCAGCATGCACCCAGCAGGTGCATTCCGCAGCATTAGGCACCAAGGGCAGGGGTAAGAGGGTGGGCTCAGCCCTCCCCCTATGCGCCCCTTTTGGTCTCTAGTGTTCCTGTTTGCTCCCAGAGGCCTAAGCACCTGGCAGAGGAAGAGGCTGTGGAATGGCAGGGTGTTCCTCCTGCCCTGGGGAGCCTCGGACCCTGGTGCCTAAGGGGCAGTGCTGAGATTTCAGAGTCCAAACCCAGGCTCACCCCTCTGCCCTCTCTACTGGTGGGAGCAGGGCAGGCCCCCGAGACTAGAGAGGGAGCCAGTTAGAGCAGGAAGGGGATGAACACAGAGGCACCCCTGGAAACTTTGGCAAAAACAAGGAGCTCATTGGAAGGGGTGGGGAGAGGGCAGAGCAGGTCCTCCCCCAGTCACTGATGGTGTCTGGGAGATGGTCAGTCTGCTGCCTGGAGCCCCAACCCCCACGGCAGGGGAAGTCAGGGGCCCTGGTCAGGCTGGGGGCTGCGGCCCCCTTTGCCCTGGCCCCCAGGAAGCTCATCCTCGCTAGAGGCCTTGGGGTGGGGACCAGGCTGCGAGGAGTCGTCCTCAAACATTTCGGGGTTCTCCAGCATCTCTCGGATCAGGGGAGGCATCGGGCCCGGAATCTCCATCTTCAAGGTAATGGCTCTTTCCGCTCCTATAATAGAGGGGCAAAAAGGTTCAAGGAGGCAGAGGTACATGCCCCTTGAGGCCCTAATCTTTCTCAACTGCCCTATGACTCCCCTCAGGGGGCTCCCAGCACAGGCCTGCCACCTCTCTGTCTGAGCTCACCCTCTCCCTACTCCAGGGTTCCTGAGGGCCACTCCTCTGCCTGGAGCCTCTACCTGTCTACTCTGCCAATCCTGCTGCCCATTTGTCCCATTCTTTCAGGCTGTCTTCTCAAAGATCACACCATGCCCAACTTCCAGCCCCACGCCCCAGGCACCCCACCCTGTAATGTCCACAGCTTGCCGGTTGTTCCTAGGCCTGTTCTTAATAACATTTATAATAATAGCTAATATTTATCAAACACTTACTATCTGCCAGGCATCTCTCTAAACCAGCACTGTCCAATAGAACTTTCTGCGATGATGGAAATATCTACTCTGTCCAACAGAGTAGTCACCAGCCACAGATGGCTACTGAGCCCTTGAAATGTGGCTCCTGCAACTGAGGAACTCAATGTTTAACTTAGTGCAGTTCTAAGCCCGTTATGGATTAACTCGGTTAGTCCTCACAATAACCTTACGAGGTAGGTGTAAGTACAACCCAGGATACAAAGAGGAAAATAAGGTACAAAAAGTAAAGGAATTTGCCCAAAGTCTCCCCACTAGCATGTGGCAGAGCTAGGATTCCAGCGTAGGCCGCCTGGTTCTCACCCACTCTGTTCTTGTCTCTGCCTGACCTGGGAGGCCAGCAGCTCCAGGAAGAGAGAGGGGAGGCTCACTCGTGACTAACCCTTGGTGCTGATGCCCCGGAGGTCGGTGATCTTCATGAGCATCCTTGGGAACATGTAGGGCTGGGTGGGCCGCCGCCGCCGGGCATATAGCCTCAGGGCTTCCAGCAATGGCTCCTGCAGCTTGTCCACTTTTTCCGGTTCCTCCAGGTCCATGCGGTCTATGGAGATAAGTGCAGTGGAGTGAGAGGAAGAGATGGGGATGACAGTGACAAGTGGATGATCCCCAACTGACCCTGTGCCTGTCCTCTAAGTTCCAAACTTTGTC